AAACTGATTTTCAGGGTGCTAAGAATGAAGGGAATCAAATTTGTGTACAGGGGGCGGGGGCTGGACGCGCAGGAGGTAGCTGCAAAGGGGCAAATTACAGACAGTAAGTAGGGATTATCGGAAAAAGAGGACATTGGTAAGTCGCTCAGCGTCTTGGTGGAGGGTGGGTGTGTGTTTGCGCAGCAGTTCGGGTTTGCTCAACTGCGAAAGGTAAAGGGAAATGTGGCGATCAGAGCCCCATAGTGATTGGTCAGCAGGAAATCAGGTAAACTTGGCGAAAACTGGTGGTCTAATTCGTCGTGCGACTGCGGCTGCGGCGGCTGGTCCTGAGGACAGACACCTCGACGCCGATGACGCCGGTGAAGGGGCAGAGACAGGGAGAATCGGCGGAGCAGGGGAATGAAATGAGCACTGAACTTAGGGCTGCTGCGATCAGCCGCTGAAGAGGGTCGGGGAGGCGAGGGCACCAGAGAGGCCAATTGGTCTTGCAGATCCAGGTAGCACAAATGCACAGTCTGGAGGTTCTGATTGTCCAGTAGTTGCAAGGCAGGTGGGCCTGAGAAGGACAGGGGGAGAGGAGAGGCCGGAGCAGAGAGCGGATGGTCGTTCGCAGGTGGAAGGCAAATACTCACAGAAGCGTAGAGATGATGCCGAGAAGTCGAAAACTGGACGGAAGCATGAGCAAAAAAGGCGAATTTAATGTAAAAGGGGGAGAAACAGGAGAACGACTATCACAATTGAGAAAACCAGGAAAGATTGTGAATGCAAAAAACTCTAGTGGAAGTTTAATTTACATCCAAGAACAGATTATTTTTCGTATACCTGTCTACTTACTTCGTAACAGTAGGCAGGCTTGTTTATACGAAAATCTTAGTAAGCCACCCTCGCCAGCAAGTATGGCTGCTTACCACGATACATTCCATCCCGACATAAGAATAACCCCCACGCAAATCTAATTAACCTATGTCGGCAGGGGTATCATTGGTAGCGTCCCCTATATACGCTAAGCTCAGGGCTTGTGTCCTACAGTTAGGGTTAGTGATACGACAAGGGTTATGC